GCCATGTCTTTGCAGCTGTCACTTGTTAGACGCTATACGAGTAAAGTATAGTCATAGACTCATATACTTAATGTATGCACATATGAACAGTGTTCATTGACACCAACAATAAAAGTATGGAGTAAGCATGTATTAGCAATGCCTCACGGCAGCTTGTAGCTGTAGTGCACATACATGAACTTCATTACTAATCTACAGTGTAGACCAGCACCAGTGTCAGTAATGATGATGAAGAATTATTGGGTACCACATGCATCATGTTAGTAATAGTTCTGGGTAATATCTGTGTAGTATATTGAACATGGAATATATTGAACTTGTCATAGATAAAATCATACGTATGAATCATGGCACTCCGCTGGTATTAACTGTGATTACACCCTGCTGCATGTAATTCTATCTTCAATGTTGGCAGATGTGGTAGAGATTTTCTGCCATCTGCTTCTTTGTTTTCCTAAAAAAGAAAACCACTTTTTTTGGTTCCTAGCCATGGCTCACAATTTGGATAAAATGCTGTCAATAGGTGGATACTACAGAATGGTTTTAAAATACTGTATTAACCTCCTTTCTCCTTCTATCACAAAACCAAGTTGCAGCAAAGATAAAGGGATTTTACAGTAGAACTGATACAAACCTGGTCTCTCTTGATACAGAAGTAGCTCTGAGCACGGTCCTCACAGTGTGGGTCAGGCATCAGCTGGACGTTCTTCAGTGCCGTCACCCATGTTAGAGTGGTCTCACCTGGGGTCAGAGGGCATCATAATAAGCTACTTCACAGTTCAAACTGGGCACGTGGAATGTCATGCATAGTGTGTGAGTAATGTTAAAGTTGAAGGCACCAGGCCATTTTGTATGTATTGCCATGGGCCTTCAACTTTCACATATCACTCACACTGTATCACACTACACATGGACACCTCAAACTGTGGACTAGCATATATGGACTGAGATAACATCAAAAACCACAGTGTACGTGTGTGCATGTGCTCATTAAGTGCATTTTTATCTGTAATGAAAAGAATTTGTAATGCAATGAATCTAGAAATACTGTGTAAGACAGGTGGGTCATAGTAGCCTCTACCAGGCACCGCGGATCGCTGGAAAAATAGTAGAAATTGGCCAAAATAAAGGGATAGTATACCAGAGAAGATCCAGGGCCATAGAAGCTCCAATTTG